ATTTATAACATTATTGATAAGAATGAGAAATTAGTAAATTGTACAGCTTACAAATAGAYACTATAGCTATATTTATTTGTGACAATACAGTGATTTTCAAAAAGGTTTGWCCGCTAACATATATTTTGTCGGGTGCATCATGGGTAATTTCATGTGATTTTTTGCTCTTTTATCGTCAAATAAGATTGAAAATCAATCAGTCTTTGAAATTATGCTTCATTAGGGATATTCAAGACTATTCTGTAGTTTAATGGAAAATTATAAAAGGCTTAATTTTGAAATATCAGCTGCTCTATACATTGAAATATTTATATGTTAGCTGKCAGAATTTCCTAAAATAACTGTGCTATAAGTGCTRTATTCTTTATTAGTGTATTGTTGTTCTGACTCTTAATTATTGTCTTTCAAGGACGTGTTGAAAACCCTTCAAGAKGACAACACAAATCTAAATGAAGCTAGTCAAKAACTCCTGTCTTGCTTACCAGACGACGAAAAAGACGAGTTTCAAGGAGAGCTTTCAGRGTTGAATCAGCGATGGCTTGAGTCAAAAGAGAAATTAATTGCAAAATGTGAAGAGKTCGAAAACAGTGCTTCCCTGAGCCAGCAATATCAGGATGATGTCCAGCGGGCTCAAGATAAAGCACTGGAAATCGACGAGCTTGTTTTCAAGTTAAGTAAGGCAGAATGTGAAGATATGGATGAATTTCGCGAACAATATCAGGTACAATATGCTATAATGATGTTGTTAAATTATCATCACCATCATCATCATCATCATCATCATCATCATCATCATCATCATCATCATCATCATCATCATCATCATCAAGAGATGTAAACCTCTTAGCAAAGTACCAGTATTTTCTTAATCTCAGGTTAACAATGTCTTTTCAATTTCAATTTGCTATCATTGATTATCCTTATGCATAAGCACATGTGATGATTGTAAGCATCGAAATTTCTACAGAAAYCCTAAACAGTTTTAGTTCAATTGTTTTTTATTGAAAATGTCCTGCCGCTAAAGCTTATCGTCTGAACAAGGAAAACAGGATGATTGCACAGAATTATTATTGCATTAATTGATGAAACAATGGGTTTGATTGAATTAAACAGATATTAGCCAATTACTTTTGAAAYTCAGGAGAAAATCTTCAAACTAACGTTTCAATTAAACGTTGTCTGTAAAACAAGAGGCTAATCCCTACGATCTGTATAGTTTTGCAAATTGTCATCTTCCGAGTAACTTAATCGATTTTAAACTATATCACTTTTTTTGTCTACTTTGTAAAGTTCCCTTACCTCCGAAATATTGCAGGTCAAAGTATTTTGCATGTTTGACATTTATATATATAGTAATACTATTCAGCCCACGCTTGAGGTTCTCTAGAAAGGAACCAATTGATCTCACTATTATTTCATGAATAAGCGTCAGTAATGAAAATCATTTGCATGTCCATGACATTCACACAGCTGCGTTTGTTATGATTATCCGCAGCGTTTAGACGACCAACTCAAAATCTTCACATCTTTGATGGAGGCGGTCGAGGGCAACAAACCACCACTGTTTACGGTCTCTGATGAGCCTACATTGAGCATACAGAGCTCATACGATGCCGGGGTCGCCGCTAAAGACAACCTACATAAGACACTGTCATTTCACACCCAGTATCAACAAGCCTTGAGTGAAATAAAGCCGTTTTTAGCGAATGTTGAAGATCAGTTGAATGAGAACAGTCCAAGAACGAATGCCGAGGAAAAGGTCTCGCGACTSAAGGTAATTTTCCAGATAATTGAGCGGCGTTATGAATATTTAATTGATGTTTTCAGCTTATTTGAGTATAGAAAATAAATTTGACTTGAAATTATGAGGGATAATGAAAATAACATCGGTTTGGCCTAGCATTTTGTTTATCATGCGGTAGACATGCTAGGGGCTGAAGTAAATGCGATCACTCAAGTTTAGTTTACGCTTGATTGGAAAATATCTTGATTTTGATTACTTATATTATARTAAAGGTGTTTTTTCTTAACTCATTTCATGCACATGATCGATTTTTTTTTATTCTTGTACTATTCTATTAAAATAACTATCCATTAGTCTGAGTGCATTCTTTAYAAATGTAGCTTGTCAAGTAATTTTGGTTATCTGAATTATGTCTTTTATATCCGTTTTTAAAACCTCAAACCACAAAACTCAAAAATCTCCAGTGTCATTTGTGATCCGGTAGATGCCTTACATTCACGTTTTTTGGGGGAATTTTAATTAAAATCAATTGTATTCAAATTAGATCGGCAATAAATAAAATTGCACTATAAAAGAACGAAAATCGCTACAATAGAATTTAAGCGATCTCAATTTCAGATGAAACWTTACTAATACGAAAAAGGCATTGATTTCACGAAAAAAATCATGCSTTTCAGGATGAAGCGTGGGCTTTTTTAGAAAATCTTGCCTTTGATGTTTACAGATGATGTTTTTTTTTATTTTGTTGTGTTTTTAAACCAATTCTAATTTAASCAAATCCTCTGAATGCTTCCATCACATTTTAATAGAGGAATGTAAACAAGGGTAAATTTGTAAGTGGCTTGRTGTATATTCAAAACGCGAAGCTGTGCAGCAAGCAAATCTCTATATACGACATCATTATGTATATCTGTCGAGATAATAACAATGGCGCATGTATTTAAGATAAGTATTGATTTAAAGCCCAATGTTTGCACAGGAGATCCAAGATGAATTCCAAAATAAACTGCCAATTATTGAGTCTGCTTTCGATAAGGGCAAATTACTAATAATGATGGAGTCCAACTCTCAAGACAACAAAGTTGAAGTTGCATCGGAAGTGGAGTCCCTTAAAGAGAAGTGGGATACCCTTCGAGAAAGAATTGCTAGCACCATTCAACAATTAGAAACGAAATGCGAGCAGGTTGAACAGCTTGAGACAGAAATTCAGGGTGTTTCAGAGAAACTGAATGAATTACAAAGCTCGACCGAGGACATGAAATCAATTAGTCTGGTAAATGGAAAAGTGGAGAATCTTCGGGAGAGTTACGAGGTGGGTATGTCGGAAAGGGAACTGGTACCGGCTGATCAAATGTGCACGGGATGTCAGTACTTAATCTACTTCCAAAGTATTTTATTTGTACTTGACTTAGCATGTCGCTATTGCTTATAATTTTGATTTTAAATGGCTAGAAAGGGAAATCCTCATGTTTTTAAGTTCTCTTAGCCACCGTGGAATAGCCACCCCCGCTTTGTTATAAGATGCGCAGCAGGGGAGGCTCTGATAACGACAGCGGGGGAGTCTATCTACTGAACAGAATGTCATTTAATTGATTGAGCTGAGGGCTGAAGAGGTTTCCAAAAATGCATTGTGACATTTTGCACAAAACCATTTAAAAACTAAAATAATTGAATCTAGGATATTATGCACTGATAGTACCCCTCAGAGGCGTGAACTATAGTACCCCTCAGAGGCGTGAACTATCGCGTCACGTGGTCGACTCTCCACCAATGAGAGCGGAGGAAAATTTGTTGAATTATGATAGCTGATATTGTGTATTTATTTTTTTAGATGCTAAGCACGGAGGTCTCGTCGTTACACGGGTCTGTAGATAATCTTAACACTCGCTGTCAGGAAATACTCAGTAGTTCACCGGTAAAGGAACGCGAGGTATCTATATGATATTATAATATTTTTGATATATAACGCGCGCTCTGATTGGCTGACGACCAAGAAATATAAGACGGCGCGTGTGTCTCTGTCCTCTGATATAAACATGTTGGGAGTTGAAAAACACGAGAGAAGCAAGCTTAGAAACACGAGTGTAGCGAGTTCTTCATAAAATGTTTCTGCGTTTTTCGAGCAAAAAACAAATTTTGTCGGTAAGCCGTTTCTCTGTCCTTTGATATAAACACGGAGGTCAGCCAAACAGAGCGCGCGTTATATATCAAAAGTTTTATATTTCTTAAATAGAATTAACAGTGACTGATGCATACCATATAACACTGTGTCAATTTTCTACTGTGCTCCAATATTCCCAGTTATATTTAAAAAATTCAACGTCGCACTTTCTTGCAGATTCTTGAGAAACAACTCAGCAATTTACTGCAACGTTGCGACAATCTCGAAGGCGAAGTTGCAGAAAAACAGGAAGAATTCGAAGATACTCTCTGGAAATGGCAGGAATACCAAGCTGAGATCGAATCATGTTGTCAAAACCTCGTGATGATGGATAAATCGATAGATCTTTACGTCTCTCATGGTCGCATTGATGAACTTCAAAGCTCTCACATGGTAATGACTCAGTTTTCTGTAAATTATAAAAAACTACCGCGTGCATGATGTGGAAATTGTTACTCTTTTACGAGCAAAAATAGAAAATAAGGACTGTACCATTTCTGATTAGGGGAAAGTTTTTCAAGGGGTCTGTCTCTAAAATATTTTATTTCTTTTTTTTTCTCTCCTTTTTTTCCCATTCTTTTTCATGCATGATTTTAGGAGGCGTTTTCCCTACCACAAACAGCCCCGCTTCCCCCCGACCGCCCTTCCCCCACCCCCTTAACCCTTAATTACAGGGTGCCCCAGATTCATACATGTATCATGTGAAGGGTCTTGAACATCTTTTTTTGTTTGAATTTTGTTAAAAAAGGCCTTAAATTTGATAAAAAACCTTTTGCAAGAATGATGAAAATAGTCATGATAAGGGTGATAATGATGACGATAATTTGAAAATACAGTATATCATAGTCAATGGATTTTTATGACTTTCTCCTCCTTTAACACTTTGTGAAAATGCAAATTAAAAAAAAAATAAATAAAAGACAGGAAGAAAAAAAAGACACTGAAAAACACTCAACACTAATGACGTTGTATCTTCTACATCGCATTATATTCCTTTTTGTATCAAACATTTCATTATTCTTTCGCAGATGTTAAGAGATAACCTAGAGCTACAAGAGGCTATATTGAGTGCGGTTAAAGCCAAGTCCAGACATATCATTAACTTGGTGCCCGCTGAGGACAAGGAAACGATTAGTAAACGGCTACAGGAATTAGATATAGAGTTCTTAAGGGTTCGCGATAGGCTCTTCCAACGAAAACAGGAATTAGTTAAAATCTCAATTGAATGGCATGAATTTGAGAATGGTCTGGAAGCCGCTTCTGATTGGCTATCCAATCGAGAGAATGTGATACGAGAAATGTGTCGGGCGAGCAGCGACGACATCGAAATCGTTAAATTTAAGGTTAGTATCGCATATTTATTGCCATGTTGTTGCATAATTACCTTTTTTAAAACCATACTATTTTACTTTTTTTTTTGGGGGGGGGGGAAGGGATGTTTTTCTTTTTGTTGGATCTCATAACTGGCTGAGGGAGTTATCAGAAAAACTAGATAATTATTCCGGGGTTTCGCTTTTTATCAATAAACTTCGTTAGTTATCTCGAGGTGTGTAGCCAGCAGGTGCTATTGATGTCATTAACGTCATCAAAGTCACGAGCCAATCAGGAACCGACTAAGTCGACATAAATTAAAACTGTCTTTTTGGGGTTTTGACGAGAAAACTCAAGATCTTCCCCCATTGTATGATCTTTTAGTCATTTTTGTCGTACAAAAAAAGACGTCTTTACCGAAAATAACCGGAATTGAGAATATTCTTTACATCTGAAAGTGACTAGCTATAAAATGCACGACGTATTCCTTACAAATTGACTATAAAATCTATCAATGTTTGATTAAACAAAATTTGCATTTTGGGAACTTCTGTGTTTGAGTGCAAATACTWCAATACCTAATTCTGACAAACACCAAGCCTGCCTTATTGCTCTCTAAAGGATTCAAATTCAAATCAAATTTCTCAATACAAACACCGAGCCGAAGTTGATCGAAAAAAGCTCGCAGTATGTCAGCGACTGATTAACATTTTCCATTATAATAGCAGAGGGGTGTTCACGGGTTTGTGACTGTGTCACGACACTAATATATTCATTCTCGATGTCAATATACATGTAAAGTTACACAAGCTTGCCTTATGGCAGGAATACAAGGCTAACGTTGTCTACACCAATGTCATTTTTACGAAAACAAGTCGAATACACCATGCCTTATGCCACTGTCTACTTGCAAAATCGCTTCTGTGTTTTTGAAGATGACTTCTGTAGATTAAGTCTTTTGAATGAGTCGCATTGTTTGTAGAGTAACGAAATGGCTGCTAAACGAGTGTTCGATCATACCTTTCGTTTTCAGGAGCTTAGCGATGAAGTCGATGTCAAAGTGACCGACTTTGAAAGTGTTCGCAATCAAGGGTATCGTCTTGCTGATTTACTGGAAGATTTGGAAGAAGGACAGAGATTAAAGGATGAAATAAATTCAATACAGGACAATCTCGATCGAATTCAATCACTTGTTACACAGAGGGAGAAAGAAGTCGGTGACCGTTACTATAAGACAGCAGAGTTCGAGGTCGCCTTACAAGATGCGAAAGAAAGAGTCGACGATTACAAGGAGAGGATGGAAAAGGTCAAATCTAAAGATTGCATCGATTTGCATGAAAAAATCCAGGTATGTGTTTCTGATACTAATATCAGCGACTCTAAATTGTTAGTTTGTTATGAATTCAYCCAATACTTTATTGTTTGCCACATAGAACAACTGGTTCCTTGCAGGGGGGTATTGTTTTTTGGTGCGAATCGTAACAATAGTGTGAACAACTCCATTTGTGCATATTTACAACCACTTTATTGATTGTGGGCCATTGCCATAACGACGACATAAACGCTCTCAGCCATTCAGTTCTCATTGCAAAGGACCCTAACTAACACAACATTCTTCTTTGCACGGAGTAGTTTAAGCACTTGAAAATGTCTCGTGAACTATTGTGTTAAGTAGGACAAAAACTCCTTGTCAGGAAATTTCTGTCATTGCATTTAATCCATGGATGGGTTTGTCTTAATTATCTTTTGTTTTGCTTATTTGTTTGATGTTTTAGGGGCTTCGTAGGAATTATCACACTATTCTTGTAGTGTTTATTTCAAATTTAAGATTTTTATCAATGATGACGCGCGGAATTATTAAAAATACTGTTGTACTATAATATTATACTTGATTACACAAGGTGTCGGTGTTCGCAAACATCAGTGTCTTGCTGAGACAAAGAAAACTCTGTAGTAGATTGTAAACATACATCATTACTGAACCGAAAATATATTCAAATTAGCACCTGTTTCTCTCGAGACGAAAAACGTTCTCGTTATTTTTGATTACCTCTTGAAGTAGATCAAGATAAACTGAATTCATGGAGAATATGATGCCATCTATCAGCACTCTTTAATAATTCGTACATTGATTGTTTATATTTATCAAGTAGGTGCGAAACACCTTATAATTACAGCCTGTAAAACTGACGAAAAATACAGTTTTGAAGTGGTTTTAGTCGAGGAAGAATTAGAAACTGTTAGATTTGACACCAAGCATATAAAATCAATTATTTAGGTCTTTTCGGCACGTGTGTTTGATTGTGTAGCAACTAACCCCCCTATGGTGGCTTAGAGACGGTCTCTTACATTGAATCATCGTTAAGAGCTTATTAATATTGATTTGATTGTATGTGTGTGAGTATACGAAGTATTCATCGATGTGTACATCGAGCAGAAAGTGTTATACCTATACGTTGTTTTGCCTGACAAATGAAGCTTGAAGAATCCTTCATTTTGTAATCAATAGCAAAGCTCTGGAACGTTACCTGATATCCTTTGTTGACCCGTGGTGTGCCGGTCAGCGTCTCTTTCATTTGGTCTTTAAACTTGTTTATACTTCTTTTCTCAGGATTTAATACTTGATTTGCCGTTCATTAGAAGTCTGATAGCGGACCTTAAAGCCCGTCAAGGAAGTCTAACAGGACTTTGTAATGATTTTGAGTTGAAGCGAATACAGCAAAACATTCAAGAGCTTAGCGAGGATTTAGAAAGTCTACAGAAAGACGACTTGTTTGCTACTAATAATTTCAATGTCGATGAGTTATGTCTGGGCCAAGAAGAGTTTGTTCCATCAACAGTTGTAAACGAACCTGCAATTCATCTGAAAAACGTCGATAAAACGATCAATGGTCATCCTGAGTACGGTGAAAACGACTCGGACTTAGACAATTCAGAGAGTGGAGTCTCGTCAATGGAATCGCTTGAAAGTCTTCTAAAAAAATCGGAATCTCATGAAGGGGAAATTTCTAGTGAACCACAGAGTGGTAACGGAGAAAAAGCCGAGCAGAGCATTAGTCCTAGGGACAGCGAACTATTGAATCAAGAGTCTGCTGTTTCTGTTACACCTACAAATGAAAACGGGAGTAAAGATAATTCTCAAATGGGAGTTCCAGTTCTTATTTTAACTGACGAAAACGGCGTTGTTTATAGCGATGAAACAGACGGCAGCAGGCCTGCAGAGGATCAACCACTGACCTCAAATAATGACAGCTCGTGTAAGAATGCTCCAGATGGTGATAACGAGACTCAAGAAAATGTCGACAATGAAAATGATAGTGAAATTACGGATGAAATAGAAAATAATGACAATTATGATGAAGCTGTTGAGGAATTGCGGCATTCATCAACAGAGGAAAAACAGCCAGATTCGGCTATCGAAAAAGTGACTGCTAATCCAAACGACTCACAAAATAATATTCCTAGTTCTATATCATTAAATTCGTCAACTCGTAAACTAGACGAGCAAGAACCTTTAGACTCTTCGGGAAACCACGAACATAGCACGAACGAAGCTCAGGTGTCATCAGAATTACCGACAAGTGACGATAAAATATCGATTGAAAGTAGTAGTCATAAATCTATTATCAACTCAACTTCGGCGCCAATTCAAGAAAAGGAAAATCATGAACTAGGGTCTTCGTATTTGGACAGCGATGCCAATTTAGAACTGGATAAATCTAACACAAAAGTTTCTTCGTCCGACTTGGTTGGGGAAAGTTTAGTTAATTCAAGTCAACTTCCTTTAAAACAAGAGCATATTAATGACGATACATCAAATGTAGGTTATTTAGATCTTGGTGAGAAAAATCACGAAAGGACGACCTCTGCAAACTCGCAAGTGTCCATGGACGTGCAATTATCCGATGGTAGTCGGTCGCCTTCTCCTGGTGACCACTCCCCGGGTATTAATTTAGCGAGTTTGCTGAATAATCAAAATATCGATAGACTGAACAACCCACGGACGATAGTCAATGTTAATCAGGTAAACAATCCCAGCGAGGCTCTCGGCAATGACCTTAGAAAGCTTTCAGAAACAAAATGTAGTGACCAGTCCCCTTCAAGAGGAACCATAAGCTCTTTTTCCCGTGGTTCGAGCGCTTACGAATCGCCATACTTCAATGATACCTTAGAGAAGCTTCGAGAGCTGAATGACGATGAGATCCCTCTGACGGAGGGAATGAGCCTAAAGGTGTTTGTCGTTGAAGTTGAGAAACTCTTGGAAAAGTTACGTGTTATTGAAGACATGATGAGGGCTTGCAATGGCGTACACGATGACGTTAAAGACGAATTAGCGAGACATGTGGTAAGTTTTATCATACTCCCTTTTTGCTATTTTTTCCCTACGCTAAATCAGTGATTCACGGACGAATTTTGTTTGTATTTTTTCTCTCTTTTACCCGTTTTTAGCCATTTTGCAAACAATATTCAGTAAATAATGACCATATCGTGAATTTGGATAAATAATTCAATAGGCCTTTTGCATGAAACGGTCACATGGTACAAAATCCGCCATACTGGATGGCAAACAACCTCAAAAACAAAAGGAACGCAGCCCGTCAAGCTTGACTTTTCTTTGTTTTGAAAATCCCAGTGGGTATTTTGCCATCCAGTATGGCGGATTTTGTACCATGTGACCGTTTCATGCAAAAGGCCTATTGAAAGAATAACGCTGTTAACTGTGCAAGAGGAAGAACAACAGGAAAAAATAGAAAAATATGAATATATTCTATGCCATAAAACTACTTCATGCCGGAGGGCACTATATCAAATACTGCTAACGGCTTGAGCAGACGCTTTTGATTGATAGTGTTTTTATCGTCTTTAAGACTCTATTATTCACGATTGACATCTAAGTGAAACGTCTTTAAGAAAACCTCCATCCAAAACAACATTAACGTTTGCACCTGTACCGAACACTCAACAAAATTTTTATTTTTGGTTTTGCTGGGCATGCTCAGTGGGACGGATTCGTTTGGCGCCAAACACCCACTTACTCCCACATTAAATCATGCACTGAGTTCATTTCTTCCTGTTTGTTTAATTTGTTTAAAATTACCCCCAAACATCTAAACCATACAATTCAATTGTGGTCATCAGGGTCGTGAAATCTGATATTGGAATATTAAATATATTTACTTTTAACTATGCKAAAACGAAAGGTAAACACATAGAACAAGTTGGAAAATACATCTACAAGAAAACTTGTCAACTGCATTAGTTCGGCTCCCTGAGTCGTTAAAATCTAAAGAACGTGGTTGTTTTTTTCCTTTAGTCATTATGCGTGGAGATGTCCCGCCAGCAAGGACGAATTGAAGCTATGAACGCATTAGCCCAACAGTTTCCCTTCGAAGGTAACAGTAGCCTTATGATCATTATGGACGAACGGCTCAAAGCTGTCAATAGCCTGTGGCAAGATCTTCAAAACCGTGCTGCATCAAAACAAAGCGATTTAGAGAGCTATGTTCACAGTCAACCGCGCGCGAAAGGACGCTTTGAAACAACTGACTTAGACAACTTCAAAGAAAACTTTGCACTTTTACGGTCGTTGAATCTTAGCAATGCAAGCGACGATCTTGTTCCACTCGAGGAAAATGGTCTGTTTGACTTCAATCTGGAAAATGGTGTAGAAGATGATAATTTGGCTGCACAAATTGAGCTGCATGAGCTGTTGGATGGTGTAGCATCCATTGAAGAAGCTTTGGTGTCAGAAGAGATTGTAGATGGAGATATGGCCGTGCTMAAACAACAATTGGAACACATACAGGTAATTTAAATGAGCAGTATTCGTTCATATTCGTGATATTTTTTGTTGTTGCAATTTTTGAATTTGTAATAATCAATTGATATATCACTATCTTTTCTTAGGAATTTTTATTTTTTTCTTCCGCCAAAATAAATTGATATCCGGACTGTTCTGAGTTTCCTCAGTGATTACTACTAAATCACTATTTTTTCTGCAGGACCTTTTAGGAGAAACTAAACAGCAACAAGCAAGACTAAACGACATATTCATTGGTGCGTCAAACCTCTCGCCAAGTCAAGAGGCCGARCTKAAGAAGCAAACAAGCGACTTGGYAGAACTCATCCATGGAATCATCAAACTAATGGTGGCGAAAGTTTTCAACTTACGAACCGCTATCGATAAGATGAGCGAGGTAGAGTCTGTCATTCTAAGCAGCCAGGATTTTGATGAGAAACTTGAGGAGGGTTTGGAACAAAGTGCAGCAATTGAAAGGACTGTTCGACAGCTTGGTCCTCTTGATACAGAAAAGAGTTTGGATTTGGAGCTTCTGAAATTCTTGGTAAGTTTTAATGGGTATTCAGTAAACGTTGTCTAGGAGAACGACGAACGGTGATTGTCGAAGAGAGGTTGTATGACCGAAAGGGACTATGGTTACGTTGTTTGAAATATAATATTTTAATTACTGGGTCCACCTTGCGTGAAAATGGAGACTTAATGGAGTCAATGTTTATCACAAACTATCTTTACATTTAAATCAATTATTATTTCCAATTTATAAGCAAACCCCATTGCTCCTTTCGTGCAATCTACGCTTGACAATTACCATTCGCCATTTTTTCCGACCTTTTTTATATAGGTATGTTGTGACGGTGTCATAAACACAAATATCATGATTGGATTTATACCGAAAAAATCTCTGATTTTCTGAAAGCACTGAAGTTGTTTTTGTACATATCATTACCATATTCTGACTTTTTTTGTGATATCCCAATACTGATTTCCAAGCTGCTGGTAGAGTGTTATGCTTGATATTTTATTGTTTGTACTGATACATGAATTTTGGTTTGTGAAGATTCTTCAATGTTACGCTACCATGCATCAATGCACCATTGACTTTCTAAACAAGAATAGCAACAGTGTATCAAGCCCACAAAAAAAGAACAAACTAACCGAATTGAACAAGGCTTGGGATCGACAGCGTCCTCTTATACAGTCAAGGGAACGCCATCTTCAAAACCTAGAGCTTCTTCCAAAGCCACCACCACAGGGGCCTGTTGTGTCAGAAATAGTAGAAGCAGTACAAGAACAGCCTGTCTTTGCACCAAACGAAACGTCGCAGAATGGAGCTCTAACACCACGCGATGAGCTAACCCCTAAAACACCTTCTCCAGGAAAAAGACGATCAGAAGCTGGAGGCTCACCTACTGAACGAAAATCCCCAAAGACAAGACAAAGGCAATACGACCGGGAACTGGAAGAATTCTCCGAGTGGCTTACGGCACAAGAAGCCGTTTTTCACAGTCTCATTACCGATGATGATGTACCGCCAAATTTGAAAGCACTAGAGATGAGATTACAGCAATTTCAGGTATTATTAATCACTATGTTTTGCTTCTTCTACGTTTGTAATTTACTAAAGCGTGCTCCATTTCAATTTAGCTTGCATACTATTTTACTTTTGCTGATGGACACTTTTCATTTTTCAGTCATTTTCTCGGAGTATCGACACATGTACATCGCGTCTTGACATGTTCAAAGAATACGCAATACAAGCCAGCGACGAACCAATAAACCTTGACCGTTACAATGACCTTAAGAAACTGTCCAACAACATGCTAGAAGTGTGCAAAGAAAACTCAGAATGGATAACGTCTACAGTGCTTCAGTGGAAGTCATTTGAAGAGTCTTTTTGCAAGCTGAACTCTTGGCTTGATAGTTTAACGCAGAACTTAGTATCTACATTGAGAGAGCTACCAGAAGGAAACATTGATGAGGTAGTGCTGAAGGTTATGAAACTACGCGAACTCGATAAGAAACTGAATGATCGTCAGTCAACACGAGATGCTGTTGTATATGAAGGAGAACAAGTTCTTACTGCTACAGGTTTGTATTTTATACTATGACATAGGCTTACCAATGTTATATTATGGCACTTTGACTGCAATAGGTCATTGAAAAATCCCCCATGTAGTCATATTGCAAAAGAGTGCGAAGTGCTTTTAGATTAAAAAGAGTTTTGAGTCAACAAAAGTCATATTTCTTAGAGATTTCATTTAGGCGAAGTTCTACTGTACTTATAGACCAATTTGAAAATGGCGGACGGTGTGCATAACTGTTGTTATATATAGAGTAGTAACCTCTTGCTCATGCATCAATACAAGATGTTTGCCATGGATGAGTAGCTATGACTCAGTCCGAAACAGTTATTTTAAATTGTTCGCCATTGATTAGAATTCTAAACTGATTATTCCACCTAGGAAATCCTGAATTACAAACCAGCGTAGCTGATGTGAAAGAACAGTGGCGTGCAATACGTCACGAAGCCCGTAATGAACGACAGCGTTTAGAGAAATTGCTTAAATTATGGCGTGAATATCAAGGAGGAATGGATGATCTAGTGGACTGGTTAGTCACAGTCCTGCGGCTAATGCGGGATGAGGATATCAGCGGTTGTAATCTGAATATGGTAGAATCGCAGCTACAAAACCTTAAGGTACGAACTATCAATTTGCATGTTGATTGATTGATTGGTTGATTGAAAGATTTATTGATTGACTGATTGAAACATTAGTTGAGTAATTGATTGATTAAATGAACGATTGATTGATTGATTGATTGATGGTTTCATTCAAGTGGTCGATTGCTTGATTGATTTGCATATTGGTTGATTAATTGATGGGATGATGAATTGATTAACTAATTTATTCGTTGGTTGAGTAATTGAATGTCTGCTTGATTGATTAAAATTGCGTCCATAGACGTCTGAAGCTTTTACGTCACTCACTTGATTTGCAATGCATTGTGGGATCAGTATCCCAAACCTATCCCACAATGCATTGCGTATACAGTAGATAACGTAAGAGCTTCAGAGTTCTATAACTAATGATATCGAATGTTTCAGTACTGATTGATCCTTTCCCCTTAGCAATACCAAACGGACATAGAATCACATCAAGCTACAAAGGAGCGGTTAAACCAAGTTGTGGAAGAGCTTCTAGAGTTCACACGAGGTGACACAAACTTCCTGGTTGAAAGTCAATCAAGTTTGGATGGTAACTGGACTGAGTTGTGGGCTTTACTTGAAGACCGTGAGGAAGAACTGATCAAACATCGTGCAGATTTAATGGTTTTAAGTTTATTTGAAGAACTTGCCGAACTTGATTCCTGGTTCACTGAAGCAATGCGTATCGCTGACGAACCGCCTGTTGAAATTGGAAACAATACAATGCAAGCAGCGAGCGAACGATTAAAAAAGTATAAGGTAAGTGACAACAAGAATAATAGTGCATTAGTTAAGAATACTTGTCATTTTTAAAGCATTGTAGCATTGGAACTACAACATGTAACCTGCGTACATCATACTTAGAACTTAACCTTTATGTAAACCAACCAAGTTGCATGATTAATTCAAACCATTTTGTGACATTTTAAAGGTTTTCTTCTGTGAAATCATTTTTGATAAGGTCTTTTCAAACTGTTTTTTTCTCGTTATTAGGATATTTCTAATGGTCTGGATGTCAAAGAGGATTATCTGAATAGCCTCACTGAAACTGTGGAGGAGCTTCAAGGTGATCGCCATGATGGCCCTGCAGTTGAGGTTCAAGATGCTATCCGAAGACTCGCGCTAACGAGAAGTCGAATCATCAGTTCACTTACCGAAAAAGAACAGCAAATTCAACATGGAATTGCACGATGGAATGAATTCCAGACATTGTACGCTGAACTTAAAACGATTAACGAGTGGTTTGAAACCAGAGAGGAAGCAATGAACAGCTATCAGAAGATAGTCTCGAAGAAAGGATTCGCCATTGCTCTGGAGGATGTCAAGGTAAATTAAGTGTTATGTTCACAAGTACATCAGATTTAGAATAAATATAAATATCTCCTCAGTTATAAAAGAAATCAAATTCAAAGCATATGTCGGTGTTGTGTAGTTGTTCCAATCTCTCGTATATTATTTAAAGGCTATGAAAGGCTTTCTGGTAACTCAGAAACAGTCCGTTGACAATGTCCTCAACTATGGCAAGCGTCTTCTCGGCGACCCATCGATAAACCAAGATGAGCTGCAGGAGAGCGTGGATAGCGTTCAAGACAGATGGTCAGAGCTTACTACCAAAGTAAATGATTATGAAATTTGGCTTGAAAGCTCTTTAAAGGCCGTCGAAGACTACGAATCGTCTGTACTCCATTTAGATCAGTTTATGGATGATATTCATGAAGCAATGAAAGTGAACTCAGCCGGTGACATGGAAGCGTTTGAGGAACATGTAAGTCAGCTTGAGACTCTGAATCAAGGGCTCCAAGGTGCTCGAGAGAGACTGGACGAGGTCACCGAAGTTGCCGCTGACTTGGCACGAAATTGTGATCCCTCAGTTGCAAACCATTTTGAAGACAGTGTAATAGCTGTTTCAGAGCGGTTTTCATCTACTTCTAAAGAGCTCCAGGAAAAAATCAAGCAACAACAAGATTCCCTAGAATCCTGGAAACAGTTTCGAAGTGGATGCGCGAACTTGGTTGCTTGGATCGAGCAACAAGAAGCCTTACTGAAAGAAACTGTGTCGATGAACGTACCTCTCAACCTCCAACTGCAACACCTTGAAACCTGCCAGGTAAGTGACTTTGATTATTTTTTAAAACACAAAAAGGTTTTTCAGGCGTCATGTATTAAGAGATAGAACACTGGAAAAAATCGTGGACTTTAAAGGTTGTAAATTTGATGTAAATATTATGTAAGTGTCCAAAATGTAAATAATTTAATTCAAATTTACATCATTTTGGACACTTACATAATATTTACATGAAATTTATATACAACCTTTTAAAGTTCGCAATTTTTTCCAGTGTATAAAATTATGAATGTTTTCTCTTTGTATCTTACATATATTATTTACGCTTCTTGTTTTTCCAGGCACTGGAGCAAGAGGTTGATCTTCACCGTGAACAAATGTCCACTATTGACATACTTGCCAGTAAACTTAAATCTAAAGTGCCCCGTTCTTCCACATTCATCGTTCCCATCAGAAATGAAACGGCAAAACGTTTTGAAGAGCTTCAAATTGACCTAGAAGACAAGACAGCCAGGCTGAACGAAGCCACTCGAGGTTACATGAAAGTCAAGAAAACGTTTGATGAGCTTAGCTCGTTACTTGACGACGCTGAAGTCACAGCCGAAACTTGCTCGGTATTGGAAGCTGACGAATCTTTTGAAGAACTTCAGGTTAGTGACTTTATAACGGATAAAGACGAATGGAAGACCTCGGCTTGTACAATGTTTATCCCATTTCAGATGACTTAGGCGGAAATTTTTTTTCTTCTTAAGCACTGATTGGAAACAAGGAATTATGTTCGCAAAGGTTCTGAGGTTGGAAAAACATTGCTTAAAGCTAGGAGGTCTATTTTAAATGAAAGCCGTGAGGTTCCTGATGTAGAAATATTCATTATTGCTGACTGTTAGTGCAAAATGCATTGAAGTTGACTACTTCAGAAAACGTCGAATACCGTATACAGATAGGGGATGGTGCTCTACAAGATCGAAATGCAATCAATGGTTTAATTTTTTTACAAAAATTGTTTTACACAGAAATTGTCCTCCGATGCAAACGACAGCCGATCAAAACTAGATGCTTTAAACCGAAGCTTAGAAGAGGGAATTCTGGGTAATTCACGTGATCGCTCCGACACGATGAACAGACAAATATCTGAGCTTGGTAAACGTTGGGATACGCTGCAGAGTCGGGTCCASTCCAAACTCGACGATAACAAAAGGGTGGTGGAAAGACGGGACGAGTTCGAAAGAAAATTTTCAAAGTTGCACAATCTTCTGGTGTTGATTGACAAAGAGGGTGACATTTGGAAACATGGAAGGGATGCTTTTGAGGGGAAAAATGACTCCGCAATTATGGTATGTAGGGATATACATGGATGGTAGAAATTCATTGTGGCTCCACGATACTTTTGCTCATTAATAATGAAAAAGTTTGGAAATAAAATAAGTAAAAAAACGAGTCCATTACAAGTTATGATTTCATTGTTTGATAATAGGAGTTTTATGACCAATACGAGCAGTATCAACGTGAATTCACCGAATTAACATCACTTGCTGAAGAGCTGGACATCGACCGCGTAAAAGACACTAAATATCGATCAAACCTCGAGGAAAAACTTACACAAATCAGGCCTTTGTGGAGGAACGCTTGCAGGTATGAATGGAATGCAACCGTTAAAAAATTAGAATATCCTATGAAATTACCGTTTTCACTCATATAAACTGATAGAAGGAACAACTCCTTTATACAGTTGTTGGCATACTTCCATGTAAACGGTTCTAAGACACACAAACTAAGAACTATATATAATGTAAGTTAATGTTCAACTTATCTTTTCTTAAAAGGCTAATGGAAGAGTACAAGGAGTATTTCAACAGCCATATTATGAAGATAGATGAATTCCAACGCTTGTGTCAGGAGTTTTTATATTGGATGGATAGTCTTGAGTCTCGAAGTGGTTTTAACATTCCTGAATGTACTAGTATTAATCAGATGAAAGAACACTTCGAATATGTCAAGGTATAGTGACTATAATACTCCATTTTACAGTTCCAAGCGCCATTTTGTAAGGTTACCAAGGCTATGTATCAAAGCGAGACTGGATTTGAGCCTGCAGTGATAGATACCTTTTGTTCACACCTAAGGCAATTATTCAAAGGTATCTATCATTGTAAGCTCAACTTCTGTCTCGCTTTGATGCAAAGGCTCGGCTACCTTTCAAGATGGCGCTTGAAACTTTTCTTGTGCTCATGCTTATGCTTATTTTGAGCCCGTTCTCACTGGCGCATGTGACTCTCGTGCTTCGTGCTTATGCCTATGCTTATGCGCTAGCGAAATCCACGCTTTAGGGTGTATAGTCTTTTTTTTTCAAATTTGCCGCATTGTTTGGCGGATACTAAAACAGCCTTGTGGACTATCAACTCGTAGTCCACTCAACCTTGTGGTCTTATTGTTAATTATTACATCAGTACTATAATTTAACAAATATCGACAAAATCTATTTGAAATAATGATAAAAGTAAAAAAGCAACAAAAACTTAAGTATTAACAACAAAACGACAAAAATAATTATTAATTCCATGAAATATCAATTTATTTCTCGCAGATGTGTCAGAATAGTATTACAGAACATTTCCCAGAGTACGAATCTATATGTGCCAAAGGTCGACAAATCGCCGAACGGGGCAAAGGCAAAGTATCAACAAGCTGTGAGAAAGAAGTGGAGAACATCATGAAACGATGGAATCTCTTGACCAATAGGATTGCCCGTAATCAACAACAGTTGGAAAGCTCGCTGAAAGAGTGGCAGCAGTATTCCATTCAAATGGAGAACATTATGGTCTGGTTGAAAGAGAAAGACAAGGCGTTGAAGAAACCCTTGACGGCAACAAATGTCGAAGAGTTGCGTCGAGAAATCGAGAAATTGAAGGTATACTGAACGCGAATCGCATCAGAGTAAAAAAAAACAACAATTAAATCGTATTTTCAGAAAATTATATTATATCTGTTATTTTAAATCAGCCTGTTTTTTTTTCTGAATTTCTGTTTTTCTTAACTGTTGTCTAATTTTGATTTTTGTGTTTTGGTATTGTCAGGTTATAGGACGAGAGTTCGATGAAAGACGACCCCAACTTGAGAATATCAACGAACGTGGAGAGATACTCCGAAAGACCGCTGATCACAATGAATCAGATCGATTGCATAATCAAATATCGTCTCTGTGTTCGCTGTGGCAAAGTGTTTGTCGTACTCTTTCTTCATCGATGCAGTCGATACTCGGTATATTGAAACAAGCTGACACCTTCGAAGAGCTTTACAAACAGCTCATTGATTGGCTAAGAAAAGTGGAGTCATCGGTGTCGCGTGATCTCGAAGACTCGTTCCTTAGTGGTCCAGATGATCAGGCCYACACAGTGTTCCAGGTAAGCACTAGTCAGTGGTCACAAATATAAATACCTTAGAACATAAATGTTGTCAAACAGCTCGGTCCCAAGTCTGCCACACTCACACTAAAAGTGTTACAAAAATTGAGCATTATCAAAATAAGATACACTTTGACAACACCTTGACTTTTTCAATCTGCATTACTTTGATCCATGTCAATTTAACCCTAGTCCATTTCGGTCTAGTCGCGTAGAATATGACCACTGACCACGTGTAACCAAGTTTGTTGATATCTCACTAGGTCTACGTGGCCGACATTGAACGACATGAAGCAGTTCGCTCAAAAATGAATGAAGCGGCATTTCATCTAATCAGTCATTGGAGTGGTACAGCCTTCACTGATCACCTGACCACTAAACAAAAGGAAATCAATGATCGCTGGCGCACATTGTGTCAGCAGTTGGGTGTGACTTACAAGAAAGCAGAGGAAACCAAGTATGGACTTAAATTACTGGAGATCCAGTTGAAGCAGTTGAATATGTGGATGTCTCAAGTTGAAAATAAACTTAGYGACTACAATATTGGTGACGGCTGCGAACTTGCGGAAGTACAGCAGAAATTTAAAGAATTGAAGGTAATGAAAATCCATAAAACGACACCACTAAAAATACGTAATGAAACAACATAAAAAAAATGGAAGCCGAAATTACGCTTCCCAATACGAAATGTTTTTGAAGAAAAACACGAAGTTTGTATGGATAGAAATGCAGATTTTCCAGAAGGTCTGTCCATCCTGTCTGTCCATCCTGACTGATTCTTTATCACACATATATCATATATTATATTCTGTCTTTAATAGCAACGAAAATATTTTGAAAATTAGTAACTTAATCTTGATGTGTTTGAACAGGAAATGCAGGAAGATGTGGAAAGGCATTCAGTCGATGTTCGCACTGTTTTACGACTATGTGAGGTATGATTATAATCTTTCTGAATAGAATGCTCACACTAAAAGCGTGAAAAAGTACTAGAAAGAAGTCCAAAAACCGTGAAACTAAACTCGAAAGTTTGATAGTCAAATAGGCACAAAAGAAAACAATTAGAGTGATTTGGAGTACAACTATTAGAAACTATTAAACACATAGTCATTATTTCACAGTCCGATGAAAACCACTCTAAGGCACTAAGTTGCATTAGTCAAATATCTATTTCACAGGTTTTTTGATTAATTACATATTACTAGAACCATAACATAGTAGAGTTTTTTCATTGCTTCAACTGGAATGTTCCTCGGGTTAAAGGAACACTGTCAATGGCACGCATGCACGAGTAAACTTGAAAAGATTAGGCTAATGTTTTCAAGTTTACGACTCCAAGTTGACGCGACGCATGACAAAAAAGTACTCGTAAACGTAAACAGATCTAGAATATTCCAAAGTGTGTCAAAACATTGATTTACCTCGAAGGTAATACTTTCCAAGTCCGTTAGAGGCAAGACTGTTACTGCGCATGTCATCCATTGACAGTTTCCCTTTAAGTGTTAAGACTCTACACAGACCTATTAATGTGTAAATTGATAAACTGGGACTCAATCGATCGTCGTATCTCGTTTTAGAGACTAGATCAAGATCGTGCAGCCTGTTCCACCGACGAAGATCGTCGAGTGCTTCGTTATACAATGCAAAGTTTTGAGTCCCGTTGGGAAAATGTAAGCAAAACGACGCAAACAAGAAGACGCCAGGCTGAAGAAAGATTCGCTTTGTGCCGAGAGTTTTGGAACGAGTACCGTAAGTTTGTGGAATGGTTGAACGAGACGGAGAAAGCTTTGAGTACTGCTATATCTCGCAAAGAAGYCACCGGAAGTCCAAGATCTAAGCTGAATGTATACGAGGTAAGCTTTAATCTGTATCCGTAAATAGAGGTCAAACTAAATCCATCTAATTCTGAGCTTAGTTTGAGTTGTACTTCACGTCCAACAATACCAATGAGGTTTTTAACATTTTGCTTGATTGATATTACAGTCTTTTCGTAAAGATATAGTACAACACCACACACAGATGCAAAGAATCGTTTCAAGGAGCAAGTATTTCCTACCCGATAGTCAAAGTGAGGCTGTGAAAAAGCTTCAAGCTGGAGTAAACTCCGCTAAGCAAAGATGGGAAACCCTATCAACCAACGTACAGGACTTGGTTACCAAACAGACTAAAGTTACCTCGAAATCTGAGAAATTTGAAATTCTGAAAGACGCAATAACAGCATTTGTGACCGAGACAGAACTCACTTTGATTGGACTCGATCCATCATCATCAGAAGATGACCCAAAGATACAACTAGAAAAATTGAAGGTACTTTATTCTTGTGAATTGCATCTGGTAGTTTGACCTATAGGAATTGTGTACTTTTGACTAATGACGTCATTTTTTGGCGAAGTGCATCATGGTATTAAACTGTAATTGATGATTGTTATGCTAGAGATGGTGGAAATGCCTTATTAATCCAAGTTTTTTGTTCGAAGTCAACATTATCCTATTTTGAGGATGCTTTTGAAAATCATGGCTGAGTTGTAAGATGACGGCCACTTTAATGTCGTCGTCCGAATCGTCCAATCTCTCTAAAACCTGCTTCTGCATTCTAGCGAATTTAGGCCTTATTTTAGTTCTATGTGCACAAGGCCTAACAGACGATATTTATTACATCATCAACACTCAACATACTAAACATGGCCATGTATTATCTTGTCTTTCAGAGTCTTCAAAAAGATATCAACAGAAATTATCCAAAGCTTAGAGCTTTCCTACACCAAGGAAAGAACCTTCGTGATAGCTGTTCACCACAGGAATACCAAAGAATACAAAATACCCTAGACGATATGAATTCACGCTGGCAAAAGGTTAATATCTTCATAAGAAATGGACTGAAAGTAGCTTTTAACAGAGCGAGGGAAGATGGCAAGCTAACATATTAGGCATTCTTTCAAACTTGTAAAAAACATTGCTGTTGTCCAGTTTTTCAGATGCTAAAATCTATACTATACTCCGAGCGCTTCGTCGGGTTTCTGTTGCCTTTGAATCTTATCAAATATACCCCTGAACGTCGTTGCACATGTGCTTATCTAAGTGCATATCTCATTCCTTAACCAGTTGTAGTTATTAAGTGTTTCCTTGTTCTTTTTTGTCAGGCATTACACAGTTGTATGACCTGGATACTGGATATTGCTATTCCAAGCTGTAGTCCATCATCGTCACCAGGCTCAACAAGTAGACAACGTCCTGCTTCGTCCTTTTTGTAAACTTAGCTAAAATAGTGTATATAAGATAATGCTATTTCACTAAGCTCATGTATAAACTTCACTCTGTCTTCGAGCGATTCATAGTACTTATATTTCATCATACTTTGAATATTCCTAGTGTATACTTTGTCTAATATTCGCTACTATTTACCGTTCGTTAAAAATGTATTTCATCCGCGATATATTGTATAACATGTGACAAGATTGCCCTATAGCATATTGACTTCACAACGTAGTAGGACTGTAGACCTATTATTAATATTGTCTCCGAAAGAAGAGCTTCAATTTATCTAGTTCTGATATATATTATATATCGATGATTGCTCATGTACATTTTTTTGATATGAAGACATTTTGATCTGGCGTTATTATGCGATAGGGCAACTGAATATATATCTTGTTTTAAAGATCTTGAGTTTATTGTTCTAGAAATGAGAGCAGTTCAATTGTAGCGTACATCTGATGTACGTGCGAGCATTGTGGCTTCACCCTTTGTCAACCAATTTTAGATCACATTCAGGGTGTCGATTCACTAATCTGTGATTATGGATTCGTTAAAATTAAATTTATAGTTATTCGTAGACGTGTAATATAAATCTGATGAAATCTTTTGTAAATATACATTTCTATTTTTGATACGTTTATATAAAGACATTTGTAAAGTGGCTCAAATATTTATGAAATAAAGACATGTTTGGTTATAATCCATGGTTATTCGGCCATTTTTGATGTTTTTGGTGGGCTATAGTCTATGCTTTTTAGCTCAAAATCGGCCATTTTTGGTGCTTTTGGTGGGCTATAGTCCATGCTTTTTAGCTCAAAATCAGCCATTTTT